GACGCTGAGCGCTGATGCTACCCGGCGACGCCGCAGTGACGCGCTTGTGACGCGCCCGTGACGCAGCAGTGACGCGCCCGTGACGCAGCAGTGACAGGCGCAGCCGGGCCCGGGCCGAGCCCGGTGAGGGGCGAGCGGAGCCCGGGTGAAGATCTTGGAGCGGGCGGATTGAAACTGCTCCGGAAACGGCTCAGGGCCCGTGCTGCGCACCGCCGATGAACAGGTGCAGTTCTCTGCCTTCAGAAACCATTTACCTGCAGTTGTGAATCCTTTACTAACTTTAAACCAACATTCTAAATCAGGACCCGCTGTGCAGTGAGGCCGTTTCTTTTCAGGGAGGACAGAGGAGACACACAATGCACCTGACTGCAAAATCTTGTTTGCCTTCTCTACGCGCTACAGCACTAGTTTGTATGAATGACAGAATCACAGAATAAGCTGAGTTGGAAGGTACCCACAAGGATCCCAAGAGATCCACAAGGATCCCAAGGGATCCACAAGGATCATCGAGTCCAGCTGCTGCTACTGCACAGGACCATCCCAAGACTCACAGCATATGCCAGAGTGTTGTCTAAACACCTGCTGAACTCTTGTCAGGCTTGGTGCTGTGACCACTGCTCTGAGGAGCTCATTCCAGTCCCCAACCACCCTCTGGGTGAAGAACATTTTTCTAAACTTTTTTCCAGCCTAACCTTCCCTGACACAATTTCAGGCCATTCGCTTGGATCCTGTCACTGGTGACCACAGAGAAGAGATCAGTGTCTGCACCTCATCCCTTCATAAAGAAGTTTTAGACGAGTCTGGACTAGAAATTAAAATGTGTATCCCCATGACTGTTGAAGACAGAGGCTCTGCCAGTGCAGGGATGAGCTCTCACCCTGAATATCCTTGTTCCTGTGGGGGAACATTAACTAGCCCAGCCAAGCAGGTCCAGATTTTCTCTTAATCAGGTCATGCTGGATGTCCTGAATCCCTCTTGTCTGCATGGGGGACCCTCCAGTGTGGTCAGAGGTTAAGGCCAGGTTACCTGATCTCAGGGACCTTCCTTAGTCAAGAACCCTTGGGTTTTCCGCCAGAAGGAAAGAATGGCCATCAGGGCTGAACACTGATAAACAAAAAACCAGCAAACCTTTACAACAACTTAATCCCCTGGTTCCTAAACAGTGCTGCTGTATAAATATAACACTGTTTCTTTGCAGATTATTCCCCATCAGCCCCATTAATTGAAGGCAGTTTTCTTTAAAAAAGCAAACAACTTCTAACAGTGAAACTCTGCAAGACCACATTCCTGTTCCAACTCACAGAGTTCCAATCAGATGTCCGTTCTGTTTGTTAGAATAATGTGGTTTGTAAATATTGTAAAGTTTTTTACAGTAAAAAGTCACTGTGATGAACAAGAGGAGGATGACTTGTGCAACCACTGAAGAGACTTTTCCAATTCTGTCAGCACAACAGGGGGTGGGAATTGGATTAGGGACCTGTGAGTCGAGTGACCAAGTCTGCAGTCACTGCAAAAAAAATCAGCTCAGTGCTCAGTGCCAGTCAGTGCCTGGGCCTCCTTGAAACTGAGCTGGCATAAAAACTGGCAGATGATGTTAAAACAGCAGATAGATAAAGGGTGAAAGCAAAGCTGCACTTAACCCAGATAATCTGATATGTACAAATGCAGAGCCTGAACATATCAAACCCAGTGTGGCAGCTGGGATGAGCCACCATTGTGGAGTCACGGAGAAGATTCAGCACTTTCTCGGTTATCAAAGAGCCCATGGATCTGCACTGCTAAAGAAGCGACTCTGGAATGAGTTCCTGTTCTCCAGATTACCTTGTGGTGCCTGTGGGTAATGTGTCTGTTCCTTGTATTCTGTCAGCAATTTCAGTGGGTCACCTACTCCGTGGTGGATGGAGCCAGGGGCTGAGTGTGGTAATCACAGACTCATGGAATGTTTTGGGTGGGAAGGGACCTCAAAGCCCATCCAATCCCACCACTGCCATGGGCAGGGACACCTTCCACTATCCCAGGCTGCTCCAAGCCCTGTCCAACCTGGCCTTGGACACTACCAGGGATGGGGCAGCCACAGCTGCTCTGGGCAACCTGTGCCAGGGCCTTACCACCCTCACAGGGTATCCCATCTAAACCTATCAGAATCCAAGCTCCCATCAGGTCAGATTTCCCTTATTTCCATTATTTCCATTATTTCATTATTTCCATTATTTCAGTTTTAAAATAATGGAATCACAGAATCATTTCAGTCACAACAGACCTGTAAGAGCATCATGACCAGCCACCAGCCCAGCACCACCACCACGTTCACCACTAAACCATGTGCTTGAGTGCCATATCCCCATGTGTTTTGAATTCTCTGGCACTTGAGGATGCAAATTTTGCGGTCCCCCTCCTGATAAGTGCTGAGACCCCTTGCAGTGCTCCTGTTCAAGCTGTTGCCAAAACTGAGGGCTAGAACAGTACCCCAGCATGTGACGGGTCCAACACACATGCTGTGTTGGTTCCTGGGGAGAACTGTGCCCACCCACTCACGGTGTTCCCCCTGCTGCTGCCTACCCACTCAGGGTGCTCACTGCCCTGCTCTGCTGGCTTTGAGAGCTGCAGTCCCAGCAGAAGCAGCTACCACAATCTGAAATTAGGTGTCTCACACTCATTGCACATGCTTTGTTTTACCCCATGTCATTAATCTAGACATCATCAATCTGGGACACGAGTGTCCTTTGTTTGCAGGCCATTGGCAGAGGGAGCCTAGTATGACACTGGTAACAAATAGTAATTACCCAGTTTACTGCACTAATCCAGTGTAACAATGCAAACACATTGTAATTCATGAAAACCAAACAAACACCACTTACACACGTACATTGCATTGACAGTGAAGATTCTCTAAAATAACCAATATCATCTTGGAAATAAAACAAGAAAATAAACACAAACAACATTCAGAATAGAAA